AATCAAATTCCATCACTGCAAATAAATGTGTGATCTTAACCAAAAAATTTAATACCTCTTAACTGCGGCTAATTGTTCTTGAAATTCTAAGTATACTCTAGGTCTCTAATGATCAAAATTCCAATCTCCAGGCATGGAAGAAAAATGACTCTCTACTATTTCTCTCCTTGATTAGCCAAAAAAAGGGAATCATCTGGTCACTGTTAGTGCATCTACACATACATGTCTCCTGGAAAATATAGTTTACACATATGCAATACACATTCTGTAAACGTTTACAAAGGCAAGACGAGTGTTTTATTTTCCCTTTTTCATCAGTGTGTAGCACGGCACTTAACAAGTCTGTAATTGTGGAATGAATGAATCAAGAAGTGAAAACGATTTCTGAGATTCTCCCTCTCTTCTTGTTTGCCCTTATCCTATGATTAACATGTTTCCACCAATTTCACTTCTGAATTCCATCCTTTTCCTGTCTCCAGCGAGAAATGGTATCCATCTTATACTTCAGTGTGAGTAATGAAGAAAGAAAAAGTTGAAAATTAATTCATGAAAAAGAGGATATTTTGGTGCCATCATGATAAATGAGATTATTACATTGTAGAAAAAGGTGTCTTACTGATTATTTTTATACAATAGAAGATTTAGTAAAATAAATACATAAAAGATTTCAATAATAATTTAGTGCCCTTTAAAAAATTTAATTTTCTAATCTGTAATTAAGATGTTTTTACTAAATCATTCTTAGTCATAACTACCTGTTGAAAGACTTTTGATACACTTAATAAAGTGATCAAACATAATAAGTGTTCTAACTTAGTATTGGTGGGTATTAAGAGCTAAATTCTTCTGAGATGGTGTATTAACATTTTTGGATTTTAATTTTGCAAAGAATGAAAGCACCACTTTAAATCAGTTAAGCATTTCAGACACATCATTATCCTAACACACCAAACAATGATGGACAATAGCTCTTTTATCATCCTGGTAATGAGAAAATGATTCATTTTTATTAAGAAAGTAATTTAGCAATTTAGAATTTTAAGTTCTCTTGAAAATAAACAATAAGATAATATCAATTTTCATTCACCACAAGATATATGTACTATACTAATTTGATACATTTAAAAATCTCTAATAAAATACTTCATAATACAATTGTCTTTTCCAAATTAGCATTTTGTGAATCCATAAGAAAGAAATCTAATGAATAAATGTGTTACTACTATTTTCTGTACTAATTTTCAAGAAAATTTTTAAAAAGGAGCGTATTTCTTCCTTATGGCTTTCTTAATATCTAGGAATATAAAAAATGTTCAATAAACACTAAGTAAAATATTGCAAGCCAATACTCTGTTTTAATCCAGTGGGATTTATCATTGTTTGAATGAAAAACCAAATGATTTTTCCATTATATCTTTTAAATATACAGTGATTATTTTTATTGGACCATGAATCATATAAAAATATAAAAAGGAAGAAGAAAACTGAGGTTTTTAAAAAAATAATAATTTTACTTACACTGATATACATCTTGCTCATTGAGAGTTCACAATTTGCTATCAAGCAGAGAGAAATCTGCTACCAACTTAGGCCTTCCCCACCTCTCCTTCCTTTAACTCAATACCTATCAGCTGAAGGGTGATATTAAAATATTTAAATTGACATGTGCCAATATCGACGTGGAGAAAGGGAAAAAACGGTGTAAAAAAAATATGCAGTAGCAGTATATATCCTTATAAACAAAACATTCTTACTTTTCCATGTTAATAAATTTGTGCTTCCATGTTAAAAAGACAAAAATAAAAAATAAATGCAAGTAATGTGGTAAATCTTACATGCTACTTGATCATAAAGCAAAAGGAATGCAGCTGTAAAGAGACTTTTTCCTCCAAAACTACAAGGAAGGGACTTCTTTTTTTAAAAAACATGTCTTTTGTATAACAGAAGCAGAATGGAGGATATTAAGACATAAGGAAGAAAAATTTAGAAAAAAACATGGAATATCAAACTTGACTTGCTTATAAATATGAATTGATTAGAGAAAAACTGATGAAAACTATCTTAAGATTCCAGAGGGGAAGAGCAGTAATGTGATGTGGATTGCTTGGCATCAACTACTGGACACACATATTTGATATTAAATATATCATATATATAGTATGAAAACCTTAACATAGTATATACTTCTCTTTCTTCACCTCCTGGGCTTTTGCTCTTGCTTCACATGTGGTACAAAAACCCACACTACACTGTAGTGAACGTCAAGCACCTGAGTTAAAAAATTACTTTATTGATTTTGGCTGAATTTTTTTCTGTCAAATTTGCTATACTCTTCAAACTGAGTCACGTAAAAGTTACAGCTCAAAAGGTGTGTGTGCCTGCATGCATGTCCTTATTGACGGTGGTAGGCCTCTCAGCAAACCCAGTGGAAACAACTACTGCATTGAGAGCACATTGTTTCAGCCATGCTTGATTACCCAAGGTCATTGATAAGACCCTTCAAGTGTCTCTAATTTTATTGTTTCTGTTTATTTTTCTTAAAATCTGAAGTATAAAATGGCAGATAACACCTAGCACTATATCATAGCTTCAATCAAAGTAAACTGAGAAAGCATTCAAAGATTGTTTAGCAACTTATAAATCTCCTTTTTAAAATTAAAACAACAAAAGGCCTTTGATAAATGCTTATTAGGCAATGGTTTTCAGGATCTCCAAAGGAACCTACTCTATATCAGACCTTGAACTAGGAACTTTAACATGTGTTGATTTTATTTAATCCTTCAAATAAACTATAAAAATAAGCACTATTCTTATTTTTGAAGATGTGGAAACTGACGTCCTGAGAGACAAAGTGTAACTTGTCACATCTCTTTAAATCAGATTGCCCGTGGAGATGTAGCCCACATATATTAAACAGAAAGAAGTACAAAGGTTTTCATCACTCTAGTGGGGGTCAAATGTTTGACGACTTCTTAGTTTTGCTAGTTGATGCTTTAAAGGGAGGAAGCCAGGAAGCACCATTAAGAAAATGTTTATGTTATGCTCCGGGAAGGCAGTGGGATCCCGCTGGGACCACCTGCAGGTTGGGCAGCCCTTTCCAGACAGGGTTTCCAGTAGGAAGGAAATAAAACCTCCCAAGAATATAGAGTCGGGAGCCAGAAATAAAATTTCAAAAGCAGATCTGAAGTCATCATCTGGCCCTAAGAAATGATGGTAGCACAAGTACAGCTGAACAGAAAAATAGCTATCTGCAGGGGAAAAAAAGAGCCGCAGTAATAAAAATAGCAGATCCCCGAGGGCTCACTCAACATGAAACTGTACAAAACAGAAATAGGACAATGTGTAGTAATGCGTTTTAAGAGTGAGATCAAGGGAGTGAGCAGCAAATTTGAATTATAGGATAAATAGATATTGATTAAGTTGCAAAGGAAATCTATAACACTGCTGTAACCTACCTAAGAGAACTGCAGATTAATAAACCATACTTGATGAATACATAGCTTCCTCAGATTAATGAACTATTACCACTGAGATACGGTCAATCAGCCTAAGTAAACTCACTCCTCTCATTTATGTGAATAATTAGTTCCATTTTAATTTATTTATAAATTTAATTACTTTTTTTTTTCCAGGCACATTAGTCTAATATTCTTAAAGAGTCCATTTTGGAAACAAAGATTCTTTTGTAGAAAAGCAACTTCTGAACCCAAGTGAGACCATCCTCATAAATTTGTATTGGGGTGAGTTTCTTTGTCACTCACCATCTGCCTATTAGAGCTCACAAGAAGGGAAAATGCATTCTGAAAGCAGGGGCCCATGTAAATAGAGCATAAATTTCACAAAGACAAGTTCAAGTAAGGACTTGCAAATATGAATGGGAACAAGTGTTTTCAAAGTACTTTCCAAACTTATTCCCCTCAATTTCTCATGTTATAGTTGTGACAGTTAGTGCTTTAGCTACTCTGATAGAGATGCATTGTCAATCAAAATTAATCAAGTTCTAAGTAGTTTTTAAAGATCTCATATTCAGTATCTGTATCACACTGTATCACACTGATGACCTTCAATTAATTTAATCACACTGTAATTTTCTTAAAACTACAATTTTAACATTTAAAATTAAAAAAAAACTCTTTAACTGCAAAGAAACAAATTATAAAAGAGAAAGAGTTTGAGAATTGATAGCATTATACTACATAATATTCTATAAGTAATTCTATAATCCAAGCAAAACGTGTGTGGATGAATTAGAATAGAATCAAAAAGAAAAGTTTTTTTAATAAATGTTATTGTCTCAACATATTTGAAAAAGTAGGTCAAAAGATCTATCTGGAAACTTGAAATAGGGAGGTATTAATTTAACAATAAATTAACAGAAAGCTGTATAATATATAATAGGTGTAAAATGTACTGTGTATGTAGTGTAATGAAATTTAAAAAACACACAAGGCTTTTATTTTCAAATATGTGCATGTTATACAGCATAATCATAAAATATCTAGATTCAGATGTTTCTCTAAATTGTCTGTTGTTATAGATTATTGCTTTCTTTTGCAGCTTATAGAATATTTCAATGAAGCATTTAAATTATAGAAGCGATACATGCAAAACATTGAATAAGACATAAGAATATAGAACAAAAAAATTTCTCTGATCACACAACTCTATAAAGGGTATTACTTTCAACAAGAAAACAGTTTCTGCTTTTGTTATTTTGACAGTTGCCCATATAACTTTAAATGTTATACTTCTACTTATTGTTTCAACTTTTTGAAAGTTGTCTATTGGCTGCCTGCTATAAAAGTTGAGCAGTTGATACACAATCTTTCACCATACTTCCCACTACAACTTCAGGCTATGGCTATTTTTATACTGTGTTTTCTTGTGTCAGTATTTATCATTTTAAATACTGTATGCATATCTATAGTCTATGAAAAATCAATTTTAATTAGTATACGTAAACTCCCTAGTATAAAATATAGTGCTTTGATTATGTTTACCTTTTCCAATAACTCCATTCTCCTTTTAATAGTCCACTTTCCCTTACTTTAAAATTTTTAAGGCTCTTTTTCCAAAATCAACAACCAACCCTCCAATTCACCTGACACCACCTGGGTGTTTAACAATTCAATTCAATTCTGGCTCAGTTTAAGGGTTCAGTCCTACATACTGCTCCCCACTTCGGATGCTGGTCACAAGTCCTGGTCCCCATACTTCTGACTGAAGTACTGCTATCAACCCACACTAAATAGGGAGTTCCCTCAACTCCATCCTCAGGTTCAATCATTTGCTGAAACAGCTCACAGAACTAAGAAAGACACTTCACTGCATTTGCTGGTTTATTTTAAAGGATACAGATGAAGAGGTACATAGGGCAGGGTCTGGAAAAGTCTCCGGCACAGGAGCAACATGTAAAAGTGTTCACCAGTTTGGAAGCGCATCAAATGCTTTTGTTGAAGAGTTTTTGCAGTGCTTAATCTCTAGCCCCTCTTACCTCATTTCCTGGAGGTTGGTGGGTGGGGCTGAACGTTCCAGCCCTTTGATCACTTAGTCTTTCTGGTGATCAGAGCCACCCCAAGGCTATCTAGGGACCCCACCCTAAGTCACTTTATTAGCATAAACTCAAGTGTGATCAAATGGGGTTTCTTAAGAATAGCAAAGGACACTCCCATTACTCAGGAAATTTCAAGGGTTTCAAGAGTTCCTGTGTCAGGAACCAGAGACAAAGACCAAATATATTTCACACTATACCTATTAACAATTATATTTGGTAATTTAATTAAATATCTACAGCTTGTTTTGTTTGAAGAACTCAAATGGAGTAACAACATTTAAAATGTATTTATAAAATTATTCACTGTAAAGCCAGTAGTGTGATTGGAGAACAAATAAAGGAAATGTAATCTTAATGAAATTTCCTGCAGTAATAATGAGAATCTTCCACGTGGTCAGGTCTACTGAGTTCTCTTTTAATTATTTCAGATTTTATTCACTACATCTGTTGTACCCAAATGCTACTTATATCCTGTGCTCTATTTCTTTTTTTCTTTTTTTTTGCTTATAGCATGACCTTGAGTCATGTTTTTACCTAGTTTGCTTTGATAGCACATTATATATGCACATTTCAAAACATGCTTAATTTTTTTTTACATTTTATTAATCATTCAATTGTGTGTAAAATTCTAGGATCACTTGTTTTGTTCTTCAGAACTGTGACCTTATCTTTCAATCATTTACAACTATCTAATAATTGATACTTTTCCTGAAGGCAGTCTGATTCCCATTCATTTATTCATTCACTCTGCAAACTCGCCTTCCTACTATGTTAGGAACTTTTTGCTGTTGTTGTTGTTGTTGTTCAGTTACAATGTGTCAATTTCTGTTGTACAGCACAATGTCCCAGTTATGCATATACATATATATATTCAGGAATGGTTTTAGTTGCTGGAAATTCACCAGTGATCAAATTTTTAAAAACTTCTACCTGGGAAGTTTGATTAAAAATATTGACGTCTGGGTCCTGCAAAAACCAACTGAATCAAAGTATCTGGGGAGGGCAGCCTGAGAATTAGTAGTTTGTAAAGGCTCTGCATCTAATCCTATTGATGCCACCAAGGTTGAGAACCACTGTTAGAAGAAGATGGAACCATATTGCTCTGTCATCCATCTCTCATAATAGCTCTTCTGTTCCCATGGCAGTAAGGAGGAGAAGACAACTGTTCAGAATGGAGTTCTTTAATGAGCACTTTAGTGATCGCTGTTTCTGCAATTGATACTAGTTGATACTGAACTTGGAGCTTATCTGGAAGGAACTCCATTGGGTGAAATCCCTCACTTACTCTGGTGCCGTCAGCTGCAGTCCTCTGTTCTGCCTTAAGAATTTATCCAATTCTATTAGCTACCTTTTAAAAATTTTTCAAGTTTTGTTCTGTTGATAGCATCCTTTCTGTTCTCCAGGATTATCATGGCCTCAAATTTTGTTGAACAGAATTTTTCCACTGATTATTCTGCAGCAACAAATTCACTATTATAAAATGTTCAATAAATATATGAGGAGTCGAGTTAATTAGTAACCCTTTACCCCAGAGGTAAAAGAAAATTTTGAAATGCATAGAAAGAATTTTAATCAAAGTGCTTCAAAATAAATCTTCCAGGCTATCCTCTTGCCTCTTAAGAGATTTATATGAGGCATACCCTTCTCTAAAAATAACTTACACTCAGGAGAATACCAGAGTTCTCTAATTCTTCTAGGCTCTTTATTTTTTAAAGTTCTCTGTGAGAACGATGAAGAACTGTTAGGTCACCTAAAACCCTTTGTATCCTGAAATTTTGCATGGGATGCAATGAGTAAAGTATTCTGCCTGCTTCACTGTCATAGTAGTATTTCATTGCATCTAAAGAGTTAAATGCTTCCTTTTTTCCCTGTCTTGTGACTATCCATTTCTCTTTGAGATTTTCCACATTCATAGCAAAAATAAAGTTTATCCTTTTCATTTTACTTTAATATAATAGAGATTCAAATGGTCTGTCAGACTGATTGATCTCCTGATTATTTCTACTAGCTGCCTTTCAACTTGCTATGCTCATTCAAAAATTTGAATCTGTTTTTCATCCATTTCAATGTTAATATGCACTCCTGTAGCTCCTACTTTGAAGTCAATGGGAAAACCTTTGTGTGGAAGAGATGGCTTTGGGGCATAAAATATTTCAATTCCTTTCTCAACTGAACATAAAAAATTGGGCATAACCCAGAAATTTGTGATACAGTCTGCCCCTTCTCCTCTTTTATGAGGGGAAAAAAAACTTCAAATATAATTTTTAGCATTTTTAGTCAATGCTCTGAATATGGTGTTGACATCTTGGTGTTATATTTCAAAATAAAAAATTAGCATTATTTTGCTACAGAAAGTGCTAATTTGAAACCATTATCTAGCTCCTAGCTAGAATTAAGAGTTTACTTTTTTCCCTCATTTCCTCCCTCAATTATCATCATTAGTGTTTTGGTTAAGTACTTAGACATATTTCAACAGGAAACATTAATAAGAGAAAGTAGACACTATTTTGTTCTGCCGTGGGTCTAATTCACTGCAATTATCAGAAATACTAAGCTATCATCACAGCAAGTTTAAGCTTAATTTTCTCAATGACTAAGAGAAATGCATGTAATAATCATATCACTAAAATAAAAATTAGAAATAAATGATAGAGAAGATATAAATGTAATTTATATATAATACAGATGTTAATTACCACTTACACATAAGCTATGGAGCATGATTCTTTTGAGGTTGATTTGGAATAAAAATCACTATTATATCTATCATTAATATTTAGTATATTATTTTCATACTGGCTCAGAACACTCCCTTTGCAAAGAGGCATTAACTGAGAAAGAAAAATCTAGGATATTTAAAGCCAAAAAGAATCCTAACTGAAAAGAAAATCTGCACTTTTGGCTAAGTGCTAACTCTCCTTCAAGCATTTTTAGTATGCCAAGCACACCATCTGTGCACAATTACTTGTTATTTTATAATGTCAACATCTGCTTATAAGAAAATATATGCTTGCATATGTTAAAAACTTGCTTTCCTTGCAAGAATGTGGAAGTTCTTTATGTCAATCCATATATAATTCATTCTTCTTGTTCTCTCTTGAACAATACCAGTTAAAATACTAGACTATCAGAAAAGCAAAGACGCCGACAAATCTATGTAAGGCACATGGAGCAAGGATATAAGGAATTAAACTTAGGTGATCTTTATGCATTTCATTGTATCTAGATATAAATTTTATGTAAGTGGTCTGGAAATGTTAGAGATATTTGAATACAAAATTTTGTTAACAATTCGGATATACCCATAGTTCAATCAAATTAATTATCTGAATGGTAGAGACCAACACACATAATAATTTCTACACTGAACAACCTTTACTTCTCTTTTTCCATCAAGAAAATGCTGAATCTCAAAAGACACTGAATTAAATGTCTCAACTAAGAATAATTTCCCAACTTCACCTGCCTGTATTAATCCTGCTTCTACAACACACACACTGTGTAGTTACATTTTTGTTCATTTTATTTGAAATTATTTTGTATTTTTGGCAATATTATAAATGCACATAGTTAACATATCAAATAAAACTAAAAGACTTTTCATGAAAACTAAGAAGACACTCTTCAATTCCCACTCAACCTAGATCTTCTTTCCCAAGACAAATTTTCAAATGTTTCATTTTTACAAGCATTTTAAAATAATATTTTTTAAAAAAAGTAATGCTCTTAAAGTTTTATTTCTTAACATATCAAATTTTAATATCATCTATTAACTTTCTGTTATAGAATGGTTTAGCCTTCTTATTTCAACACCTTTCCCCAGCATCCAATAGCCCAATGTAATTATATCATAAACATGCATTAGGTCAAATAAGTCATTATTTTATTGTGATATATAAATCTGCCTTATCAATCCAAGCATCGTATTCCATTTATTTTTTATCTTCTTATAAAATAGTAGGGTTTTTTTCCTGGCATTAATAATTGCATTTTTCATTTGTTTAGTTTTCTGTATATCTACTGCTTTTCTTCTTTTCTAAGTACAGCCACAGATCTGTCAAGATATAGGGGTAATTTTCTCCAGTATAGATATCCCGTATATAGACAATATAAATTGCACTTAAATTTTTTTCATGCTGTTCTTACTGATGGATTTCCTGCTGTGATTGATACTCAGCTATTATCTTGGAGCTTTTCTGCTCTCCTGCAGCAATGGAACAATGGAACTGGAGGAATCACATATCTTTCAGAAGCATCATATTATTTTTTCTTGAGTTACTCCATGTTTTGTTGAAGATCATCTTTCAATGGCTTCCTAGTTGCTTAAGAATTTAAAATTGAGAGTTCTCTTTCATGTCAGGAAAAAATGTCGCAGAATTGGAAATGGACAAGACAATTACTGAGTGTCCTTTCAGTGGAATTCTGGACATTGTCTAGCAAACCCTTCAGGGATTGCCTGATCTATCAAAGTGTACAAGTCAGGATGTAAAAAGCTGATAATCATTCAGACCATTTTTTTCCTCAATAATCCAAATGAGTTTTGTCTGATATATGGAGATATAATTGATTTTGCCTTCAGGAAAAAATAATCTCAAACATTACCCCATATTGCTCTATAGGTATTAACAATTTTCATAGCTGCCAATTAATTTTAGCATTCCTATTAAGTACATACTCAAATTGTCAATTGGTTTTAACATCAATTAATGGGTGAAATAAAATCATTGGTTTATTTTATATATTCAGAAAAGTTCTATTTTTATCTTTATAGAAATGTAACATATATTTATAAGTGTCTTTGTTATAGTCTTCTACTAATTTGATAGCTAGACTGGTCAGAGAAGTTTAGGTTGCAAATCATTTTCTTTTAGTAGTTTGGAGGCATCATTTCCCAGATCTAACAGATCAGAAACCTTACGTCTTTCCCATTCGCTCACCTTTGTATATCACCTTTTTTATTCACTTTTTCTCTCTGGAGTTTTAGAGTCTTCTCTTTTTCCCCAGGATAAAATTTCAGAATCTACTGAGTACTCAGTAGTTCCTTTTAGCCTGGAAATTCAGGTTTTT